GAGGGTTTTAGATAAAATCTTGGTTTGGTCACTAAGCTGAAGATACTAGCACCATTATTTATCTTCTGGTAGGCCAAATGACTACTGATGCAATCCGGAGGTTGTGGTTTACCAAATTCATTCTTAAATGTGACTGCTACACCGGCACTTAAGCTCCTTTTGTTTTCAATATCAGCTGAAATTGTATGAGCAAAACCAACTGAACTATCACTGCGAAATTGATTTATAAGGTTCTTCATGTTTGTTTGAATTATGGTAATCGGGAGTGAATTAGATTCTTCAATTTCATTTGCTTTTGTCTTTGGTAGGGAGTGGTGGAAACATCGATAAAGAGTTGAAGGCTGGTGCTTTAATTTCTACAGTCCCTTTTCTTCCAAACACTATTTGTTCATATTGCTCAATTACTGCTTTTGAAATAGTCTGCTTCCCTTTATAGTTGAAATGAAGCCCGTGTCGTGTAAAGTTGTGTTTTCTTAAAGGGTTTAAGTTGATGATGTGTACATTGGGGATGCGTGAGCTTAACTCGTTAATGTGGTGGTTTAGGGTGATCAATTCATCATGGACTGGACTATTTCTAGGTATATCAAATCTTGGAGGTATGGTAGCCAAAAATATGTGTTCTTTATATGACAGTGTCTTCAATTTTTCCTCTATAGTCTTATAAAGATCCTTTGTACTGCATTGAAGAGAATCATTTGTACCACCAATAATCAAAATTGGAGTTTTTTCATTGTTGTTAGCACTGTCAAGAATGGATACTAGTCTTGCATTAGGTTTTACAATTCCTAAGCAGTTAATTTTCCCTTCACTCATTAGGTTAATTTGTTTTGCCAAGTTTCTACCTTGGCTATCCGAGTGAATGACTAGATTTGCTTTTCTTTTACAAATTTTTCTTATCTTTGGTTTTCCTGCAAGTTTTTTACAATTTGTTGGGTGTTTTTGTTTTTTCTGAGTATCGTCAGTAGCTTTCATGGTTTGGCCAACAGTCTTGTCCCCCTCACTTTGGCTGCTCAATGGACCAAAACTGTTATTCAGGGGTAAATCAAAGCATTTATTTGGATTACTCGTTTTGTCCAGATTAATGTGTTGAGTTTGCCTTGTATTTTTATGTGTGACCAAATTCCATGACTGCTCCTTGGAATCATCCTTGTTCATTGTCGCTGGACTGGTGCATTTTTCTGGCTTTTCAATCATAACAGAATAAAATGTGGCATTACTAACACTGTGATTGTTAAGCAAAAAATATGCCATAAGACAACGTATCTTTGTCAACTCCGAGTTAGATAGGGACACTCTCTGAAAGAAATCAATATCAACAGGTTTATTATCCATTATGTCCTGTATTACTGATTCAATGAACCAACACGTGAAAACACCACAGTCATAGGTGTTGGGCTGTAGTGGACATTTCACTGGAATGAGAGGTGCTGTTAACGATTCCCCTACTAGGTAGCTAGAAAGTTTGGTAACAAGTTTCTTAGCTGAAGGTAGATTGTGATGGTTGAGTGAGTCAAGATGGTAATAAGTATTGCCAATCTTATTATATATCAGGCAGCTCCAATGGGTACCACTATCTCCATCCAAGCTTTCAGAATCATTTACTGGCAATATCAAAACATTGCTTGTTTTCACATTTAATGGTTCTAATATATAGATAAAATCAACAAGATTTTAATAGCATGCACAATAAGAGGATTTACAACAATGCATGACTTAGAGGCCAAAAATCTGTCACTGATTATTTCTAGGTAAGACTGTATTGTTAAATCAGTCAACCAATGTTTTTCCAAGAGTTCATCAGTGAATTTCATTTTCTTAACTGAAGTGGGATCGGTTTTTGTTTCTATTGATGTTACAAGCTTAGGTTCAGGTATGTGATCTGTTTGAGTACTCATGGTTTCATATACTTTTGTTGAGACAGAAGAATTTAACGATTCATGGCTGAAAGATTCATTGCTACTTGAAAATGACAAATCATTACTATTGTTTTTTCTTGAGGTAAAATTAAAATCTTCAATTTTAAGTGGGAGCCCTTTCTCCTTAATGTATTTATCTAGCTCTTTTTTAGAACGGAATAGTTTGCCACCTGGTGACTTAATGTAAACATCAGTTTTACCCTTGCTCAAACCATTTTTTCTCAGCTTTTCTTCTCTTACCCAACCTCTAGGTAAGTTTGGGTTCTTATTGTTTAAATCAGCTTGAGAATTGAATAACATGATTATATAATTTTTTGTTAAAACATAAATATATAAATTTTTAAGGTCTTGTATTACCTTATTAAAATCAGGTGTGATTATTTGTTTGTATTACTGTATTCTGTTTTATTTATTTCATTTCAATTAATACTTATGAAGTCAAACGGGGTAAAGCCCATGGGTAACAGCTAGTACAGTAGACTCTTGCTCATTCGGACTAATGTGGCGGACGACTGGTCCGGATTACAAAAAATACGGACTATCGAGAGTTGAGCAAATACAGTAGGCCTACTGTATATAGTGTTTTTTTTTCAATTTTGTTCCAGGTCCACAATATTGATAGCTGCAAATGCAGTTCCATTGGTAATAATTTTTACTGCCGTGTTATCCCAGTTTTTGATTATACGAGGTAGTCTCGGTCCCGTTTAGCTCGGATAATCGGACTTCTACTGTACCGTGCCGCTAAATAAATCACCATTGCTGATCCGAACTAGCGGGAGTCCGAACAAGGCCGATCCGGATGAGTGAGAGTCTACTGTATACCTAATGTTAAAAATACTTCAGCTGTACTTATTTGTTTGTTACGCTTTCAATTTATTACTGTATTAATATCAGGTGTGATTCTTTGTTTGTATTACTGTATTCTGTTTTGTTTATTTCAGCTTAACTTAAACAATCAATAGTTTTGTTAATACTTAACCCTCCGAGTGTCCATAGTTTAGGCCTTAATGTCCACCTATTTTTGGCGCATTTGCAAGGTTTTATTAAAACGGATCTGAGAAGCTTAAAACAATGTAAATTCTACTGTTCTATATACCATTTTGTTTGGAAAATCATGAGCTTCAATATCATACATAAAACATAAGGAATATTTGTTTCAAAAAATTTTTGGTACTTACGTATTATACGGAGGCCACATATTTTTCGGCGCGCTGCAGCGGTTATGTTAGGTTGGGTTATCATAAATATATGTTGTTTTATCAAATTAAACTATCTTAACCTAACCTAACCAACCAAACTTGCTGATGGTGAAGGTTTACTAATCGAATCGAATCTGTAGGTTAGGTGGCCTCCGTTTAATACGTAAGTACCAAATTTTTTTAGGTAAAAAAAAAATGATTTTGGAAAGTTAAAAAAAAAATAAGTTCGTGCTCAATGAAATTGTATAAATTATAGGCCTATAAATATTTGAAAATAGCCACTTTGTTCTAAATTTTATGAGGATTACAAATATATAATAATATATAAGGAAGTAGATTTGCAAATAAATAAGTTATGGGCAAAAAACAGATTTCAGTACATAGCGTTTAGCTAAAAATGCATAGCCTAACCATAGCTAGGAATCTGGCTGATAATTAACATCAATGTCACTACTAACTTCATCCGGATCGTCAATAAGTCCTTCAACATCACTAATATCATCTTCTAGTGCATTACGTATATCACTACTGTCCATTTTTACCACTAAAAACGACGATAAACGTACAAAAACACACAAGTCACCGATGTGAAATAACCAAGTTGTCTAAAACACGAACGTCAGCTGTCTGCTACAATTACGATCGGCTCAGAGAACATAAAGCGCTTAGAGACAGACCTCTGGAGAAAGCTTAGAATCTAACGAAAAGAACGATACCTAACTCGATCCAGTTCAATCCGATTCAGTCAGTCATAGAGCCTTCGCCGTAATAGGGATGGACGAGATTGGATTTTTAGTTCGAGACGAGACGAGATGAGATTTTTTATTTCTTATAAACTTTCGAGACGAGATCGAGACGGGATTTACCTTCTCATACACAACGGGAAATGCACGTTCAAAATTTTTACCTGATTTTGTAACATTGTTAGATGACTGTTTAAATAAAAAAATAATGATAATAGGCAAGAATATTTACAATCTTTTATTAAAAAACATCAGCATAAATTTTTTTTATTAATCACGCCTAACTTATTAAAAATGCCTACGATTAGGAAACATAGTGATATCAGTTAGGATAGAGTTCAACTTATCCTAAAATAAAATAAATCATAAAATAAAAGCAATATTAATTTTTATAAAATAGTTAGGTACTTGTTTTGACTTTTTATAGTAATAAACATTCCTCACACTGCTTACATTTAACAAAACTTCTCAAATGTTATTAAAGTAATATTATTAAAATAATTAAAGTAATATTTACATTTAAAGAATTAATTAAATAAGAACGCCTTCGCAAAGGAAACGCAACTACAACACGCTCCTGTATTGCGGGTATTGCATTGACTTTCTGCAGGCGTTTAAATTTTTTTTTTTTTTATTCTCGTCTCGATAAAAATCTTGGCCAAAAAGAAATCTCGTCTCGTGTAACGAGATTTAAAATTTCCCGAAATTTCGAGACTTGACCATCCCTACCGTAAACGATGTTCGTGTGTCGAAAAATCGACGCGTGACACTACACAAAGTGTGTCGTGAGTCGATTTTTCGACGAGTGACGCTCGGAGGGTTAAGAAGTCAAACGCGGTGATGCCTGTGGGTAACAGCTAGTTTAATTAAATAGCAGAATGAAGCATAACCACTGGAAGAAAAAAATTCTTCAAAAGAAATAAAGTGGGTTTTTGTTTGGGCAAAGCCCAAGGTTTTTTATGACAGGAATTGGTAAAAGGAGGTGTCTACACAAAAAATACTTAATTTTAACACATTGTTTGTAAAAATTCGTCCATTATTAACAGAGGAGTAGTGTTTTGTAGAAATCACCTCATGTATTATATATAAGGATTGAGTTTATTAATATATAACAATATGAAGTAATCACTGAGATAACTAACCAAGGAGTTCAACTTTGGGATCTTTTACTGCTACACTGCCATCCATTCGTTCATCCTTCTCCAACAGCAGCATAAAAAGATGACCAGCCATGTCACCCAGCAAGTATCTAGAACCCTGGGGATCCACCTTGGCATAGCAGCAAATAGTGCTTTGCTGTAAGACAAGAAAACAGATATTGATTAGGCTCACTGAGTCATGATGCACTAATTATAGCCTAGACAGGGTTTTTAGCTGTGGTTGCAGTTGTCACATTTTGCGACAAGGGACACTCAAATGTGACAATTGTTGAACTGCCAATCACGTCTGCTAAAGGTGTGCAGATATCCGAAAATTCAGGGACCGAACCGAGCCCTGATTTGATATTTGACACTGTTCGACCGATATCCAACTTTTTCGGATAGGCTGTATATTGTGATGTTTTAGACTGAAAACACAATCTTCATAAGTTAACAATCATCATAAGTTTACATTTTCCAAGGACGTTATTTCAACATTACATTTCCATCAGTGTGACAGCGGTCGGCGACTAATCGTCCATGGCAAAATATCAAATCATCGTAAGAGCAATGTCGCCACGAAAACTAATCGTATCAACAAATACTGTAATAAATATCTGTTTTGGGTTAACACTGGTTATGAAAATCATAATCGGTTTGAGAGTCGCCTCATTTGATACCTAGAAGCATCGGTCCACCCGATCGATATACTATGCAGCATTAAGTACTACATTCGGACATATCAGAAACAAGATGGTTATTTCTAATGACACTAGCGACACATTAGACAATATGAAGAGAGTGCAGTTGAGCTAAATATTAACAATCAAAGATTGATCCAAATGAATTTTTAAAGTTTCCTTTTCACATAGGGGTTTTAATCTTGTTAGCGCATAAAGGCCAGATGAAATTTTAGAAAGTAACTGATCAATATGATGATTCCACTTCAAATTTTCATCAATTTCTAATCCCAAGAATTTGATGTGGAATTTGAATGGAGCACATGCGTTCTTGAATATTTCGGGAGCAGAGGCTATGCCGAATGGCATTCTTAAGTGGCTGTACCTTCCCCAAGGCGTGGAAAAAGTTAAATACTTAGAAGTACGCTCAGAAACCTTAATTTGCCAAAATCCTTTTCTGCAATCTAGGATTGTGAAAAATTTTGAGCCATTTAACCTAGATAGTATTTCTTCTAAAGTTTGAAGTGGGTGATGGCGACGTTTAATATTTTTGTTCAAATCAGTTGGATCTAAGCAGATTCGGACTTTGTCTTTTTGGCGTACAACAACCATGGGCAGGGGTGCCCATCCCCCCCAAAGCTCACGTCGCAGAATCCCCCCCAAATCCGTTGTTTAACCCATGCCGGAAGGTCTGGGGCTAACCCATAGTTATGTTTATAATGCGGGGAGGGAAGGGGTGCCCCGACACTTCTTTAAATTTATGGGAATTTAAGCGTTTGAATCAACTTTTAACTTAACCCAATTTAAATGGACAATTTTGCTTTAAAACTCTAGTAGCAAACTATTTGTTAGTTAAGTTTTAATTTAAATGAGTTGGATTTTTAACATGCACACAATTTGAATCAAAATTGGCCATGTAGTTTTTTTTATCCGATTTTCCATTAATTAATAGGTTTTAAAAGGGAAAAATCGCAAAAGTTGCAATAACTTTTGAACCATAATTTTTACGGCATAGAGGGTTTATACAATTTTTGTCATAGTCAAAGAGTAAGTTATAACATGTTAATTTTTAATCAAAATCGTCCGGGCCAATTCTGAGAAAATTTTATTCATCCATTATTTTATAGGGTTTTATGGAATAATCACTATTAAAATAAGTGTTTACCGGACGAGTGTGGTCGTTCCCGTGCGAGACAAAGTCGAGTGGTTACCTCCCGCTATCTCCGCGTCCCGCCACCTCCGTGTACCGCTATCTCCGAATTTCAGAGTGACACCTATAATCCTCGGTTACTTCCTGCGTTAAGACTTTCCGTCCAAACCTAACCTAACCTAACCTAACATAACCCACGGGTTAAATTTTCATTAAATCTTCTATCCACGGGGCTTCGCAGCCCTGCAATGACAGCTAACAACGCAGGCAGTGATGGGATTATAAGGGTCACTCAAGAATTCGGAGGTGGCGGGACAGATTTGGGTTCGGAGATGGCGGAACGCGGAGATAGTGGGAGCACACGAGTCGAGTACGGGATTACCATACGAGTCCGGTATACACAGTTTGGACGAGTTACGTACGATAGTTTACGCCATACTACTAAATCTATATAAATCCTTATATATTTCCAAGGACTAAAAATCACTAGTCATAACCTCCAAGAGAGGTTATGTTTTTGTTTATAACCATTCATTGCCACTTAAATACAGTATAATCAGCTGATTGGTGTCCGGTAAAACTCATTACAATACAGTAGTAGCCTACGCAATGAAACCCCAATTGAATAAGCTGGTGGCAAACAGCTGTTTTCTGGACTAAATCCTTGCGTGGGAAGTTCATCAAAATAATGTAGTGTGGCGTAAAACTCATTACAGTACAGTAAGTAGGCCTACTGTATGAAACCCCATTTGATTACGCTGGCGACAAACAGCTGTTTTCTGGACTAAATCCTTGCATGTGAAGTTCGTCAAAATAGTGTAAAATGTAGTGTGGTTTAAAAAATAATTATATATCTATTCTAAGACTAGTAAAATTTGTTTTAAGCTCTTCCTAGATTCAAGAAAAGACAATAACAAATACAATTTAATTAATCCAGAATCATGTGTTTCAATTCTTGAAGTTAACGTAAACACGTAGCCTATCAAAAACCTTAATTAAATTGTCACAGTACTGTATGTCAATTTCTTCCAATGAATAAATGACCCAGACATAATTATTTGGGAGAGCCAAAATATCATCACAAGCTTTCATGTTGTTGTTCATGTTGTAAAAATAGCAAAATGATTATCATTATCATAATACTGGTTTTTTATGAATCAAGTATATCTATCTATACTTATAAAAGGCAAAGCCCTCACTGACACACTCACTCACTCACTCACTCACTCATCACTAATTCTCCCACTTCCCATTTACCTAGGAGGCTGAAATTTGGCACATTGATTCTTTAGGCATTAAACAGGAAAACTAAGTTGTTTTTATTCTGATCGGACTCTCGGGCTCCGCCCCAGTAGCTCTGGAGTTTCCCATGTTAACCTTATGATTTTTCATATTTAAAAGGAATTAATGAATCTTTTCAAAATGAAAGCTGTTTCAATTAAACAAGTTGGTTCTGTTCTATGATGTTCAATAGCATTAAAGTTACAAGGATTACCAACAGGGTGCGGCACTATTATTATTTTTTTATTTATGACAAGAGCTAATTTGCAACTAAAAGGTGAGTAAACGTAGCAAACGAACTTCAACCTGGAGGCGAGTTATCGTAGCAAACGAACTTCAACCAGGACGTGATTGAGCCATGCGAACGAGATCATCTTGAAAATTAAGAAGTTAAACGGGGCAAAGCCCGCGGGTCCAGCTAGTATTATAATAAGCAAACCTAAAAAACCATCAATAGGTCCTCAAGGCAATGAGACTATTTGAGAATGAGTTCATAATGAAAGGTAAAAACAAACTCAAATTGCAGATACAATTTAATAAGCCAACCATAATCCTTTGACAGCAGTTGGCATGGAGTTGTTCTCACTGTCAAACATGATACGAGTCAGAAAGTGGAAATCCACATAAATGTATCTATATATTTTATAGCAATTACTTATAAAATGATTTATTAATCAAGATAAAATGTCAAACGGGATTTTGATTGCATAATTACCCCAGTAATAAATTAAGGTGGTCGTAAAAATTATCTGATTAATCTTTTATGTGCTTTTAACCAACCACTGGCTTGAATCCCCCCCAAAATCATAAAATCCCCCCCAAATAAATTTTTGATGTCACATTTTGCGACATCAAACCCCCCTGTGGGCACCCCTGACCATGGGGGATACTACAGGAGTAGGTTCAGTTACAGGTTTAATAACACCTAACTCTACCATGTAATCAAGCTCACGTTTAACATTTTCTCTTAATGCAAAAGGAATTCGCCTAGCTGGATAGATTTTAAGTGAAGGATTGTCAACTATATCAATGTCATATTCATAATTGTTCAAACACCCTATCCCATTGAATAGGTTTTCATCAAGATTGCTAGCGTGTAATTCATGTACCCTTTTAACAAATCCCAATGTCTGACATGAATCTCGACCTAAAATCGCTGGATAATTTCCATCAACTACAATAAAGTTGACTTTTTGTCGTTGTTTGTTAATTGTTTCTACAGTTGCAGTACATTCACCAAGCACCGGTAGCTTTTTATTTGTGTATGAAATCAAATGTTTAATCTTAGAACCATTAATTTCTAAGCTACTATTTAATGCAACAGTTTTACTTATTACATTACAGTGCAGGGGTGCCCATCCCCCCCAAAGCTCACGTCGCAGAATCCCCCCCAAATTCGTTGTTTAACCCATGCCGGAAGGTTTGGGGACTAACCCATAGTTATGTTTATAATGCGGAGAGGGAAGGGGTGCCCCCGACACTTCTTTAAATTTATGGGAATTTAAGCGTTTGAATAAAACTTTTATCCCAATTTAAATGGACAATTTTGCTTTAAAACTCTAGTAGCAAACTATTTGTGTGGTGTAATTATACTAAAAAGAGGAAAAAATCGAGGTTTTGATATAAAAGAGGTTTAATTTATGAGAGAAATAATGAGTAACATTATATATATATTTATATATATATAAATGATGCGGTATGAGAGGTGATTCGCGATGAATGAATGCAACAATGAAAATTGACATATGGTAATGTGATGGGAATTACAGACGGACTGTTAAAAACAAAGACATATAAAATTAATACAAAAAACAAAGGCAACTTGACTGAACATACCGGCCTCCATAAAACGATAGTTTTATAACAATGAGCACAAAATTGTAAAAAAACGGAGCACTGAAGAATATTTTGGATATTATTTACAACTATTTACAGGTCTTTCTAAGTTTTATGGCTTAGTTTTGAGGGAGAGGGAACACTTTAACAACTGGTCTAGTAAGATAACCGTGTTGAGTCTTCAGATCAACAACCCTGACTTGTCCATCT